TTGGGGATGGTTAAGTGGTTGCGAGCAGGATTTGTCTTGGTGGGGAAAAAAGACATTGGCCTGTTTGGCAGAACTGGTTTGTTCAGGGTGAGGAATAAAGATACATGCAAACCCAGGAGCTTGAAGGAGAAGGTCAGAGAGCTGGGGGAGAGTGTAAAACCAGTGATGGGAGGGTTGTAGAGACAGAGAGGGCAATGGCAGGGCTGGGCTGGGTCTTGGGAAGAGAAGCAGGGAGTAGAAAGGTTGGGGATTGGGGATAGGGCAAGGCAGAAGGGGGTGGGAGGCTCAGGGTGACAGGCGGAGGATGTGCAAGTGCTGGGAGTGTGGTGACAGCGAAGGAGTACACGAGAGTGTGCTGGAGGAGGCTGGTGCTGCCTCCAAGCCATCGGTACCTCTCCTCACTGCAACCACACACGCGTCCCAGCCGCTTACATTAGAAACCTGACTGGTGCCAATGAAAAGCCCATTTATGCCCAGGCCTCCATCTGATGGCTCCGCTGCCCGGACAAGGCCTTGCAGCTGCCCCGCTACTGAGGCTGTAACAGCCTTGCTGTTGCTCCCCTTCTGCTGTGAGCCAAAAGCAGGCTCCTTTTCTGCTTCTCCTCTCCTCCCCCAAGGTGAGCTGGGAGGAAGGTGGTGGTCAGTGCCCAGGGCCCTTTGGGAGCGGGAATGGCTGAACTAGCTGGAACTAATTTAAAACATGCAAAGAGCAGCAGGATTTACTGCCCGGTCATATAATCCCTCCACTTAGGACTGACCCACTTGAAGTCACAGACTGTGACAGAATGACCAAGCAATGAGGACAAGATTACAGAGCCACAAATCAGATTATGCTCCTTGGTGGGGATGCAAGCTGCTGGGGGCAGGGAAAAGATCTGTGTTGAGCACCTAGCAGGGGTAGTAAGCCCAGAAATCCAATGCTCTGTCTGCTTAGAGAGCATCAAAAATAGACTCTCCGGACAGAGAGAAAACACCCAAGTGAGCCAGCTGGGCTCAGGGTACTTGGGACACTGACAGCTCCTCAGCCCGTAAAATGAATTGGCACAGGTTTGTGCCAGTGTTAGCACAACTGTGGCTTCAAAACAAAACAGAGCAGGGGAAGGGAGCAGGAGGAAGGGGACAGGAGACAAGCCTGCAGTTGGCTAACTAAAACTGTAGGCTATTTAAGGTAGAAAGGGGAAAGGGTCAGGGGACCAGAGGTAAGGAAGGTGTGGCTGTGTACAGCTTACAGCATCTTAGCCTGTTGTAAATATATAAGTAGCGGCCTGTCACACACAAATGGTAATCAGAGAGCCAGCCACATTTTGCTGCTCTATGGATAAAAAGAATGAAGACATGGGCCTTGCCCAAAGATCTTATCACGAAAGACAAAAGATCACAACGGATCTTGTGGGAGCACAAGAAGGTCAGTTACCACAGCTTAGAGAGAAAGGGGAGGACAGGGCTATGCACAGTGGGAGGCACTTCTCCAAGTACAGGAGCCTTTAGATTTAAGCTAATTTACTGAAAACAGGTCTGTACAGAGCACACTTTCAGCCCAGCAGCTCACTGTGTATTTGCTACCAGAAGCTGCTGATTTGCAAAGTCTGAGGGTCCATTTCTTAATACAAAAGCATCTTTTCCTCGCCCATTAATCCAAGTTAAGCAGGAAATAAGACAGATCCTCACATTCACTTGCTGGTAAAAGCCACGTTTTCCATGGGAGCTGCAGGAGCAGCTTCTGAATATATGGTCATCTCTGTAGAATCCAGTTTTAACTTGATCCGTTAAAGGCTGAAACCCAGTGAACCTGTTCAGGGCTCACTTTCCCATCTACACTCAACGCAGGCTAGCTGGATACCCTTAAACCTTGGCATTGGGAAAGCCAGGATAAGCCCTAGAAATAGTATTCTCTTTCCTCCCTCCCTAGAAGCTTGCCCCTAAGGACAGCACTGCAGTCTTGCCTGGGACCCGTCAGCTCAAAGTGTTTTCCAGATAACTAATCATTTAAACTTCTCTCACGCAGGACATTCTAGCTCTGGTAAACCTCCTTATCAAGTGAGCAAGTAAGGGCATTGCCATACGTTTAACAGCAGCTGAAAACCAAGGCAACAGAAGCTGTTACTACCTGTACCTGCTTGTATCGCTCCTTTCTTGGAAAGGGCTCCCAGAGCAGCAGGGACAGCTAAATGGAGACATGTCCACACCCGACCCATCACACTTCACACCCTGAATACCCGAGGAACCCCAGCTCAGCACTTCTGTACCGCAACACATCAGGCTGGAAATCACAGCCATTCAACTCTCCCTGCTTGAAAGACAACAAATTCTGTCTAAGAAGGGCAAGGGACAGAAGTGTCTTTAACCATTCCTGACTACTACACCATGAAGAGTGTAAATGTATTAAGGGTGTGGTCCCATGAGCAGCAGAGCTAATCTGCCTGCTTCCCACGACGAGGAAGGGACGATCTTGCTTTCCTTTCCTCTGGCCATACTCCTCACAATGCCGTTCTATCCCTTCCCTTGTGCTGGCTCAGGCACTCGAGACACATTTGTGGGCTCAAAAAACAGTATTCCCTTTCTTTCTCTTTCTGGATTAGCTTTCTGATAGATTAGAGAGAAACTGAGGAGGTCCAAAGAGCACAGTAACCCCCTGGGAGCAGGAGCATTACCACATTTTGGAGGAGGAGAGCTGTCAGATCAGCTCAGCCTGTCTCTTCGATCTGCACCCTGAGGCACACAGAAGCAAGCAACTTGCTAGAGGCCACATGCCAAAGGCGTAAGGGAAGCCAGGAGTCCTATTTTTCCTCACATACTCAAAGTAATTTAAATGTCAAGGTTGAAGCAAAGACATGAACAGTCCTTGCTTTGTTATAAAAATCAGTCAATTGATTAATCAATCCAATAACAACCTCTCAATCTTATCAACAGATCATTTTCCACCTCCCCAAAGTACCATGCAGGAAAGACTCTTCTGGTCCATTGACAGGTTGCAATGTCTTAACTGTTTTCTCCCAAGCTAGGCTGGCAGATGTGCCATACAGTAACGCCACACAAGTCACAGAGCTGCTTTCTTCTAGCACTGAATGGGGAGCTTCATTAACTCATGCAAAACAACGGCTTCCTTGTACCCTGGAGACTCTTCTCCCTTCTACCCAGCTTCGCACTGCCACTGGAGCCACATTTCAAGACAGTGAGATTCTTAAGAAAAACACCAGAAAAGCAGGACAGTGGGAAGAAAAACTGTGGTGCTGACTGTTCATTCAAGTTGAAGAGCTGATGAAGACACTGTTGCAGTCCTGAGATGAACAGGTTGGCACTGCGGGTCTGGGCTACTGTTGAGCTTCTCATATTCAGGAGCTACGCAAACAGGAGTCAGAGTTTCTTCGGGATTCACACATAGTTTCTCACTGTGTCCTAAAAACAGCTCTAGCACAGAGAGTCTGCAGCACCTTGTAGGAAGGGGCTCAGAGCAAAGGCAGTGCTGCAAAACAGGCATTCCCAGAACCTATTTATCTCCATGGTGCAACTTCTTCAGGCTTACATAGCATCAGCAAAACTGTTAAGTGTCACGGAGGGATCACACAAATGTTGTTTTGTTGGGTATATAACACACAGCTTTGCCTTAGCTCCATGCTCATCCCAGGTTTCAGTCCAGGTTTGGATTAGCCAGCAGTCCCTGGGTTAGCAGAGCCTTCCCACTGAAGAGCAACAGTTCGGGAGAAGAACTGAGCTAGGCCTGACAGCCACAGTCTGCACAATGCTTGGCAGGGAACAGGGAAGCAATTTTTGGCTTTTCTTTGAAACAGGATATAGCTTTTGCATATCCTTGCGACCCTACATGTGCACGGCATATCCCAGGGGCTCCCCACTTCTATAATACCTTGCATTCAACATGCTTCATAGACTTTATGGTATTTGGCCTTCTAAGGATGTATTATGCATTTTTACAGAAGGTAAGGCCAAGGCATACTAAAATGATGTGCCTGAGGTCATATGAAAAGCATGACAGGGGAAAATAATTTCCTTCAACTCCCATTCACATGTTTTTCCTAATACCAGTACCCACCTTGCCCATATGTTTCTACTCTCCTTTTGCAAGAGGCATTGTATCTGACTACACGAAAGCGGTATCTTTTATGCAAGTCTTGCCCCCAAAACACAAGGGTATAGTCACTGTGCACATCTCCCTGAGCCATGATAATCCATGGCCAGAGAGCAGGACCACAAAACGCAGTTACCAAGTCCTTTCAGCTTTTGTGCAAGCAAAGAAACAGAGATAACAGCTATTTTCTGGTTGTGGCTCTAAGCAGACGAGACCACTCCCGAGATGAGACCGCTCATCCAACATCTACTCATTCTCCAAAAGCAACTAATGCCACTTCCCATTTACTCTTACATAAAGATGTCTCCTGAGAATTATACATGAGGAATGTTATGTGTAAGCCTTGCAGACAAACTTTTAGCCTTCACGAACTTCAGATCACATCTGCCTTCTGTTGGTACCCAAATTATAGGTCACTAGATCCTCCAGACTTCTCAACAATTCAGCACAACAATTGACAAACTGGGCTGCAGATGGCCTTTTCCTTCACTGCAGAAGGTGCTGACCAAAAAAAAAAAGATTTCCCTGTCAGGCTGCTAACTGTGCTCACCTAACGTCAGCATCTTTCATGGGAAGTATGCTCCTATTTTGACAGTGAAAATGAAGAGCACAGGCTGTGATGAACAGCATTGCTAACATTGTCACCTGGGTACTGAATGCTATGGAAAATATAAAATTCAGAGGCCTGAGGCAGACCCTAGTCTTAATCCTGCATTTCCACTCACTAGGCACCACACTTACTATCTTCATCCCAAGAGGCACCTGTGTGGCTGGTGAATGGGAGATTGGGAGGCACGATCAAAATCAGTGAGCGAATCCCCACCCTCACCGTCTCTCCCCCTCCACGCTATGGCTGCTGTTGGCAATGGATGCAGATGAGATGCTAATGAGTCACCATCCTGACCCGCACCTTTACCTTTGAAGCCGCCATGACGGCTGCCGTGGCTGCGACGTTCAGCCCCCGCTTCCCAAAGTGCACAAGGGCATCGTAGCTCCGGTCTTTTGCCTGGACGAGGCAGTCATCGATCTCCTGTCACAGCAGACAACAAAACAAACAAACAAAAAAAAGCACAAGAAGGACAAGTTCAGAGTGCTCCCAGCCTCAAACTCTTGGCAGGGCCAGGTCATCTTTTATGGAGGCAGACATCCTCCATTTCCTGCACCTTGGCTGGAGAGAAGTTCATAGCCAACATTTGCAAAGAGGAAAGGTTTGCAGGGGAGCAGTAACTCCCACTGCAGGCTTTGGGAACTCTTTATTCTGTGAATGGAAGATTGGGACCCAAAATTGGGACACACTTGCACAGTGCAACCACCACCAATAGGTCCTGGGAGCAAGCTGGACACATCCACCTGGGCAGAATGGACCAGGGTGTGTCAGAAGCCATTTGCAATCTATGGACTCTAAAGACAAATTGGATTGCCCCGTAGTTAAAAAGAATCTTATTATGGGCAGCTGCAGCTATACTGCCCTGGGTCCAGGACTGGTGGTCTCAGAAGTATCTGAGATATCTCTGCACATCACTGCAGTGTCTGGCTTCAACAAGCCCATGGAATTGGTAGGTCCAGAGCTTCTGGACTTCAATGTTGCTCAATATACAGTGAAATGGTTATGAAAGTTCCTGCCCTCACCCTCCCTCCCTCAAGGCACGGGGGTCTGCATGGTAGCGGATGACAATGACTTCTAGTACTCAGCTACTGTATGTGCTGGGTTAGTAGGGACTGGAGGCTGCGAGAAGCTGCTGGCTGTTTAGTGATTCCCTCCCTATTCCTAGTAGATAAGAGGTGGCAACCCAAAAATGCACGAGCACTACTTGTGAGAAGCGTAAGCAGAAGTTCCCAGGAATCTGAGAGACAGGGGACTGATCCCCACTGTCCTTCTCAGACAGGACTGAGACACAACTGTTCATGCACTGCCTGTGGCTAAACAGAAAACTCTCACTTCCATAGTTGCCAATGTGGGAAACAGTTATTCAGTTCTTAGTAGTCTGCATGTTGATATGCGACTGATAGCTATTCTTGGCCCATGTATCCACGAGCCAAATGGATCTGCCTGACAATGTCCCATTCACAGCCACAGGAATCGCCGAGGCAGCCAAATGATCCAAGCTGTAATGTGTCCGTGTCTATCCCCCGCCCCCCGAAATTAGCATCACAAATTTGGGCAAGACATTTCTCAACCCGGGACCTCAACATGCTACATGCCTTACTTCAGCATGCTATACATCTCCCAGCCAGGCAAGTGCTTGCTAAGCCCCTTTCAGACAGGCTTGGCTATTTGTCTCATTGCTGCACGATGTTCTAGGCAGAGCTGGGAACAAAGTTAAGGAGCCCTGGCTGCCAGACCCTGTTTCTCTAATTGTTACATCCAGCCACAACATAGCACTCCAGCTATATTCAGCCAGTCCGTGCAAAGCAGCTCAGGAGGTATTTTTATCCCCCTCCCTCCCAGCTTCTCAAGTGCACAAAGATGAGTTAATATGTGCGAGTGCTCTGAACAGATGCCAGTATTTAAAAACAAACAACCATGAAGAACAAAAACACCAACCAAAAGGAGATGATCAAATGACAGAGGAAGAGAATCAGCAACTCCCAGTCCTTCAATGAAAATGAGTGATACGAAGACTGGAGTAAACACGCTGTAGATCTGCTCCACCCAGAGAGGACCCGGGCACCTGTGATTACCTTTTCTTTTGAAGACAGCGTTGGATGAACAAATTTTCTGTACAGGAGGCTGGAGCCTTTTGTGTATGGAGACAGCAGCCAAGCTACAAAAGCTATTTTGAGTTCATAGTAGAATGGAAACCTAGAGGAAAAAGAGCTGTTAATGTCTGCTCCCAATTTAACCACTGCCCTTAATTAGAGATGCTCAGCACAGGAAGGGACCAGCCAGTCTTAGGACAGCTTGTGCTTACCAAAGAATCCAAAGACCACACATTCACTCACCTTTGCACACATCTCAACCAGGCATGTGGGTAAATCGTTACTCGGGTATCAGGGCCATTATTTAATGGTCTGGAAGAGACTCTGCTGTGTGATAAGAGGAGCTTTCTACATGCAAAGAGCACAGATGCTGCCTTCATAGCATCCCCAATCATTAGGAGGGAGCAAAGAGCAAATCAGTATTTCATTGATATATTTATGCACCTTTCATCTCTCTGCCTTTCTGCTTTTAAGATAACACTTATCTGACTGAAACTGAAATACGGGAACCTTTGTTGTCCCAGCAACAGGCAACATAAAGGTGCAGATCCACGCTGTGGCTTTCAGGTAGCCCTGCAAAATATGCAGGACGCTTACTAACAACAGGACACGCTTTAGCTGTAAGAACAAGCCAGGGAATTCTTGAGATTAGATTATCCAGACTCTTCTCTGGACGACAAAGCCTAGAGCTCAAGGCTGGCCAGCTAGCAGCATCCTCAGGTGGGCAGGCATGTTGCTGCCAGCAGGGTGACGAACCAACGCTACCCTTTGTAGGCAGAGGCAAGCGAGAGCAGCACAGAGACCCTGCGATGGCCGTGCACCAGCCCAGCTGGACCCAGGCAGACTCCTGCTGTGCTAGCACAGCACTGTCACCGAGCCAGCTGGCCCATACAGCATCCAGGTCTGACCCGATGGGCCTCTGCGATGCTTTACTCTGAGCATGGATTTGCCAGGTCGGTCTTCCACCCGACTGAGGATCTCTACAGCATACTTGATTTCACAGGCTGGACAAGCCCTCTGTCATTCCTCCCGAGAGACCCACATAATACATCCTCCAAAAAAACAAAGCTCCAGATGAACACAGTGGAGGTAGATCTGCATGCAAATTAGACAGAGAGACAATAACGTCTTTTATCTCCTTTTCAACAGACCTGACATGTTGCCAAGTAGTCCCGATTCCTTTTGTTTGGAGGACTCACTAGAGGCATGCAGTGCTATGCAGGAACAGGCTTTAGGTGAGGGCCACGCACCACAGTTACATTTTCATCCTGAAGTCTACTGATCTCACTGGTTTCCACTAGAAGGGCCTTACTAAAAAGGGCAACCGAGGCAACAAACGTTTCCAAACTTGAGCATGCAAATTTAAGGAACTGAATCTGATAATTGGGCATTTATGTGCTCTTGTCCTGACAGAGGTCGCAAGGAATCCTTCTGCTGGCACCAGAGAGCCCACATCAGTATGGACTGTCACTGTCCTCCGTCACACTGTAAACCCAGCCTAACCAGGAATGGGCCTGGCAAAACACGCCAGGAACAACCACCCAAACAGCAACCTACAAACAAAGTCCTGTTTCTGCCTGATCCCTCGAGTCTGTGTATTTACTGCAGCACACAGCTAGGTAAGTCTAGAACTGTGCCTGTAGGTAAAGCTAGTGTTGTTTACGTGATGATCTCTGCAAGCATCCAACTTGGCAATCAGCTGCACCTCTCTCTGACAGGCAGGGGACTGAGTCTCCTGTAATAATTTCTCACTAATGATACATCACTGAGCAGTTCCACTCTCTTTCTTGCTTTTCCTATGACAGCACTGAGAAAGGAAGCATGGCTCCTCCAGACAAAACACCTCTATGCGCCTGAAGCTGCTAACCCCGTGTTCAGGAGGCAGTGCACCTCTGTGCCCCTTTTTCCCCCTTGTAAATATTTCCATTTTCTTTCCATCTCATGCCAAAGACCCTCTCCCATCTGGTGCTCACCAGCAAAGAAAGATATCCGTGAATGTCTCTGCTGTCGTGAAGAGTGCGAATATGATCCAGTACATCATCCATTTGACCTGGTAAACAAAAACAGAAGCCTGGTCATTTTTTCCCAAGGGCCTCAAACTATCTCTTTACAGGCACAAGTGCACAGAAAAACTCCCACAGAAAAAAAGGTTCTTTCCCCCTCCCCGTGTATTTAACAATTACTACGGACTTGAAAGATGCCAGAGCTCCCCCCACCTCGGCACATAACATGCGTCAGATTTCCACACAAGCCCTCGGGAAGGAAGATTGTGGCCATTAGGACTGGTCTCATGAGACGAAGAGCAGCCTGACTCTGTCCCCACAGAGGAAGCTCCACTGGCCAGCGGAGGACCACAGCCCTATCACAGGGCATTAAAAATCTCACTTGGCTCATCCTAATAGCAAAGGTTAATGCTAGGGTGTTGGCCAAACTGCAATTAAGACAAAATCTAATTACTTGCATAATATCTAAAGGCGGGGGAAACTAGCCAGGAAGGGATAAAGAGGTAACTGCCCATCCCATGAACCAGGGCTTCGGAGCACAATCAACTCACTGCAACTTATTGAATTAGCATGCATCCCTTGAGTGGCGGTGCCTCCTCACATCCACACCCTGAGCCCATTGCAGTGACCAGGGCAAGTGCATTAGCTTAAGTCTCTTACCTGGAGCTTAGGTGAGAGCATTTTGCCTCACATTGGTAGTGAAAGCATGTGCTGTGCTGTCACTGTGTTCAACTATGGTAACTCCACTGTGGGGTGGACTGCTTGGTGGGTGATTTATAGATGGTCTCCTTTGCGGTGATAGCGATAGACAGAGTCTTTGGGGACTGTGACGTGGTCAGGGAAACTGTAGTATCTTGAGTAATTCAGGAATCTGGGGATTTTTGTCACTGGGCACTAAATGGCATTTAAAAGCACAGCTAAACTATGCTGATGCATGCAGCATTGGTTCTTGTTGGGCTGGAGAGAAACAACATATTTGTCACACGCCATCAGCACTTTCAGTGATTTTTATCAAGTGATGTGGTGTTCCTCTTCTATGGCACTGTTACCACAGAGATGATGTAAGAAATAATTTCCAAGTACTGGAGATGGGAGAGAAACCTTTTATTCCCCCTCAATATTTTTTTTCCATTGTGAAATTGTAAAACTTAAAGTTTGACAGCTTTAAGAATCTGTCTCTCCAAAGCAAAAGAGATGGTAAGATAAAAGTTGTTAATTTAACTGAAAATTGTTGTCTAATCAGCTGTATTTGAAAACAGAGATCCCTAAGCAGCTTCGCTTAGGAATGTTAGAAAGCTTAAGGAAGTAAAATCCATGAAAATCCATGAATTAGAGAATTGGACCATGTTACCTAAGGATGCGATAATTGCAATAGAATAAGGGAAGGCTGGAAAGAAGGCAGTACAAGAGCGATACCTACACCACGTGCTGCTCTGGGGAAGGGAGGATGGAGGTGGCAATAAATCTGGATCTTACCAGCTCTGAAATGGCTTGCTCCATCTTCTCCCCGACGCAGTGGGGACAGTACCTGTAGTCTCTCTCCATCTCCCTGCAGGTACTGAAATTATTCCCTGAGCACCTGTCACCCAGCTATATAACTGCTTCCCTGGGATTTATATACATATATTTATATTTAATGTTACAGCAGTAGAATGGCACTGCCAAATGCCTGAGAGCATTGTCTTCCCAGGGCAGTTTCTGCCAGACTTTTTACATAACTGCGTCTCCCTCAAAGCCTCGCTGCCAGCACGGTTCTGTCAGTGAGACATTACTGCCAGCAAACCCTTTAAACACAAACCAAGACCTGGTGGGGATGGGCTTGGGTCAGCCTAAAACACCATTTATCAAAATGACTGTTACCAAGCAGAATAAAAATAAACTACAGTGATGTAAGTTTTGACTAACAAATGAAGGTTTGTACTGTGTCAGTGTGAATTACTATTTTTTTTTTAATCAGACCCTAATGGATGTATTGCCACAACTGGTGTGCTAAACTGAAAAACAATTGTAAGTGCAGACCAGGTCTTAGATCAGCTGCCCCCAAATTTGGGTCATGAGCCCATGTGTCTGCTGTGAGTTCCTCTTTTGCAATTGAATTTCCAACAGGAATTGGACCCTTCAACAAAATATTTTCCAGAAAAGGACTATGGAAATGTTAAGTATCAGTGGCAGACGCTGCTTGGGGATGCTAGCACACGTCTTCAGTGTTTCCAAGCAAAGGGTGTACAAACCTTGAGAAGCACAGCTGTGCAAGGGCTGCAGGGACATTTTGCCTTAAGTATCTGATGTGTTCTCTAACACTATGATTCTCAAAATACCCAAAACCATAATCTGAAGGAGGGGACTGACTGAAAGGAAAAATCTCCACAGCCACAGCAAGTCCCAGTTTGATTTGTACTAAGGACTTCATGGGATAGCCATCTATGCTGTTACCCAGAGGAGAAAATAGGCTTGTTATGCCTGGGATCTTGAGAGGATTGAAGAGTCAAGATCTGGAGGCTGAGCCGGGTCCAGAGAAATTACCAGAGCTCAGATTGTGAAGGGTGCTACAAATCCTACAGGACCCCAACAGCATCCCAGTGGGTTTGATTCTCCCACATGTCACTTTCCCTGATGGCCCCATATGCCCTTAGAAACTGGGGCCCAGGGAACATTTTTCAGCAAAAGGTTGCCAGCCCTGCCTGTAAATAGGTTGCTCCACAAGGGAGGATGTTTCTGTCTGGGGATTCAGCCATATGTGCTTCGAGTTGCCTCCTCTGATCCTTGTTTTGAATGAGCAGCTAAAGCTTCAAGGCTTTTTGAAAAGGTTTTGATTTATTCTGCTCTTCAGAAACAAAGGAAAACACGCAAAGCTCTGGATGCCAAACACCTTTTAAGTTGGCTGCATATAACTCACACCACCAGAGAAATAGCACGCATTTGTCAAAGAGCACATCAACTCTGCAGAGGAGCCAGAAGCACAAACATGAGTCTCCTTGTTTGAGACTTGTGCCTAGCAATCAGCCAGTCCACCTTCAGGCCAGTTTTCCCCTTGCACTGGTTTACGAGCTTTCCCAGAATACAGGCAACACCTTTACGATGTGATGAGCTGCAATCTTAGAAAACAAACCCTGCAGCACAGCCACAAACCTCATTACTCACATATTCTTTGATGTCCTTTGATTTCACGGCTTTGTAAGAATAATATGCGGGGTAAAGAGTGCCAAATATAAGCCTGGAAAAAAACAAACAAACAACAAATGGATTAAATTGATTTCCTCTCACAAAGAAAGATTGTTTTTTTCCTGTCTGTTAAATGTGTTTCTTGCACTAGCAAAAAGTGTTAGGATTTGATTTAAGCTTGAGCGCACTAAGTACAGTAAAGGAGTGATTCCGCATCACTGAATTCAGAGAAACTGTTGCCAGTGACATGAATGAAGAGCAGGGATTCAGGCTGACTTTCCTTTTGCAATGGTTTCCATAGCTGTACCTTATGAGTTACGCACAAAAAACCCCCAAACCAACCAAACAAAAACCAAAAAAGGCCACCGCACATTTAAAAGGAAATTAAAAACCTGATTTCAAAATAATGTACTCTGACATCAGGAATATAGGAGTATTGCTTTCAGAGGCAGGACAAAATGAGAATCATTTGTCTAAAATCCCTTCCACCCCTATTCAATACTTGGAAAAGCTGGCAGAGGGTAAAGCAGCATCCGAGTTCTACTGGTGCAAGGGTTTGAAAGCTGAGGCCTTACCCTACATTAAATCTGCTAAAGGGAAGAGCTCTGCACTGTTCGGTAAAGTCGATTTGGGCTCAAAAGAGGAAGAATTTGCCCACCAAGATATGCCAACGGGATCAGGCCTAAAAATCCCAGCTCTACTGTTCTTTCAGACAGCTTCCTTTCATTTTCAAGTCTGAAAGGAATGCTGTCAGCTTCAAGATGTCATGCAAGAAAGAAATAAGGACCCGTAAATTAAAAATAGCACTGCTGAGAAAAAAACGTTGAGAATTTTTTTATACTAACTCTTCTCTGCATCACTGCCTGGTTGCTTATTCACTTCGATTATTCTGGACATAAGCATAGGCTTGTCAAAACCACTTTGCCCTGCCCAGGTTTCAGTCGGTTTTATTCAATGCAGTAGGATGATGCTGCAAAGTCTGAATTTAATAGATTGCAGGGGAATGTTTATTGGCTTGCAACCACTCCTCTTTCCACTGGAGCTTTTGCTTTAAATTCATACAGCTGTTTCTGCTGCTCTTGGGAATGGAAATGATCAATGTTTCAATCCCTAATTGTGGAGCCGCATGGACCCGCAGTTGTCTTTTCCATCCTGCCAGTAGCAATTGTGTGCCGTGGGACTCATAATTACAGTTGAGTCCATTATGTGCATAAGACATTAAAAATTAACACTCTGGGATATGGTGTACCATCGTACTTCCCGTAGTTCAAGAAGGTATTTGTGAAAGAAGGGGGTGAGCCAGCACACATCTTGATTTCCAAAGCAGTGACCGAAGAAAATTTGCCTGCTATTCATCATGCTTACTGTAGCATAGCTTAGCAAAACCTGCAGCACAATGCAGACTTCAGAAAAGCAGCTACTGAGTGAGGAGATTCAGTATTTTACAGAGGCTTCACGCTGGCTTCAAAAAGCTTTGCTGGAAACAGTCAGCTCTGAACCTATGTCACCCACAGGGGCTGTGCTATATGCAGGAATTAGATACGAATGCTCAGAAAGATTCTGGGAAACCAAATGCATTTTTGTCCCTTGCAATATCTTAACAAACAGCAACACTGGTTAAAGCAAGGAAGAACACACAGACAATAGCTTGATCCTGTTCTCACTGAAGCTAATAACAAATATACCCCGAGTGCAACGGTAGCAGGACCTAATCCAAAGAAGGTAGAGCTCACAAAAGGAAGAAAGCCCCTCAATATTCAGAAACTAACAGCTGAGCACATGAGTAATATTTTTGGCTCTGCTTATAAGTACCACCGCATTTCTGTCCTTCCTTCTTGGCCCGGGCTGGCTGCTATCTCACACTTTTATTTCCTGCAAATAATCACTGAATGATTGATATTCATTTCCTCAGTTTGTGCTGGTAAGTACAAACTGAAAGTAACTGGATCCTGAAGAAGCAAACAGTTTATGGGATCACTAGAAAAGAATTAGTTGCAGACAATAAACACTTGAAAAAAATTCCTGTGAGGGAAGGAAACTGTGCAATACTTTTGCATATGCAGAGCAAGGGACAGTTAATAAGGTGATGTGTTCTCCCTAAATTGGAGATTGAGAGTTTCACTGATTTGCCTTGTAGTGTGTTGTGTGCATATATGGACATTTATTACCGCTATGGTTTACCAGACTGAAAACTGTTTTAAGGGATGTTGGATCCCGGTCTTGTCGCTGCTGTGGCTTACTATGTGGCTTGGAGTCATTTAACCTTTGGGTACACCCTACAAATGGAAGACAAAAGATGTTCAGGCATTGCTGTAAAGCATATTCAGGGGTTTGGAGACAAACACCTGCACATAGGCATATTCCAAAAAGTCTCTTGAAGTTACTGTCTTCACTGGGCTTTGGATCAGGCTTGACTACAATTGATTTAATTCAAGCATACACGTCAATCCTCTATCTGTTCCCTCAGTTCCTCCCCCCTGCTGAAGACAATACTTCTCTCTTCCTCCTCATCCAAGCTTCCTGTGTAAAGTTATCGTTGATTCCTGCCCTCCTTCATCCCCGTGCTCAGACTGTTGCCAAATCACTCCTTCTGCACACTATGCACAAAACCAAGGCTGATTCTTTGTCCCTCTGCCCAAGCCACTAAGTCATTCCTTGCCTAAGTCTCCTTTCCAGCCTCCTTTGTGTGGTTCCTACCCCACCTGGATGCACCAGTGTTTAAACCTCCCTCCCCGCCTTGCCTACCAAGCTGAATCTTTGCTTCCCGTGCCTGAAAAACGTTGCTCCTAACTGCTGTCGGTTTGGGCTTTTATCACATCCCACCTCAGTCCCGTCTCTCCTTTAATGACTGTGGTGCCACCAGCTTCTTACTCTGCTGTTCCTTGTATGTCTTCTCCCACACCCTGGAGCTCCTGTGCTCCTTGCTCCCCCACTGCAGATCAGCCCATCGCCTCTAATATGAGCTGTTCCCTGACAGTTATCCTGACAGCCCACAGTTTGAGAGGCAGCAGCCCAAGCCATACAAATTCCAACCATGCCATTCCCCAGTTCCTCCTCATCTCTCTAATCTTCTTCTGTAGCACTCCAGTTCTACCTGATGTTCTTTGAACCACACCACAGGACCTTCAGCTTTCCTCACACATCCCCAAAATCGCAGCACAGGCCCTCAGTTCCCTCCCACAACTGCCGGCTGACCTGAAAACAACATGTGCTATGACTCCTTCTGCCGTACACGCACTGACTGCCTGAGTGGTGCCTGCCAGCTGGCAAGCCAAATTAACGACCTACCTATGGAGTTAACACTGCAGCTTTTACCTCCTGGTGGATGCTGCTATGAGACAATCTCCCAGCCAGCAGCTAATTCTTATGAATAATGTAGAAACTTAATATTTGAGACCTCTCTGACCCATCTATTTTGGCCACAGTCACTTTGCAGATCCAAAAGTTAGCAGCAGTGGAAAAACAGACTGCTTAAGCCTCATTTCCTTAGGAAACCAGGCTACAAATACGGAGTCAACCCACTCCCCACCCATTTCCATCTTTCAAAGCTCCTTTGAATGAGCTACGTACCCCGGAAAGCCTTGGCTCTTTTACCCTCTGTGCAAAAGCAGAAGCAGACATCCTGATCAGCAAACCAAGGACTCCCAGAGGTTGATGTAGTAGTTGCTATGTTTAAAGCTACAGAAATGTGCTCCTACAGCCTGGGCTAAAACAAACACACCCTCAGGGTATAGGGAAAGGCAAGGAAGTAGCGACATTCATCAGCAAGTTAGGAAAAGCTCACTTGCAGCACTAAACAAATACCCACACCAGTCTTAACAATTCTTACACTGCTCCATGCTGGAGGTCTACATCAATTACAATTGCCTTGAAAAAGGACAAAACAGCAGCTGTAAAGGAATCACTGAAGAGTCAACTAATTGGGCAACAGGAGGCAAAAATCCAAGTAAAAGGTTAGTCTTCTTAAAGAACAGGATAAGGATTAATGGTGAAAATCTTATAATCCTATTAGGGACATCAGCAGCAGCAATCCCCAATCTGGACCACTATGTGCGCTTCTGGTCATTCTTTATCAAAAGGAGGCAGGAGGGGAAAGGAGAAGGGCAACGAAAGTGTGTGGAAGCGCACTGGGGAAGATCCGTAAGAGTGATTGCAGATGCTGCAATTGTTTCTTTTGCAGCAAAGGCAAATAACTGAGGTTATTTGCTCCTACTCCTGATGCAGTGTAAGGGGATGTTCAACTGAATCAAGAGAATGAAGTCAACAAGGAGGGGAGAAACCTTCTCTATCACCAGGAGTTAATCTGTGGAACTTAATAACTCTATTTATTTATATAATTACATTACATAGGACTTGGGGTTTGGATTTGGTTTTCATTATTCAAGTTTACCACTAAATGAGACAGGAAAGGACGAAGCTTCCCATATTGTGGGGTTTCCTGATTATCAGGGGAATATTAAAGCAACTGAACTGTTGGCAATCTTTAGCAATCTCTGTCATATTCCAGGGGAGCAGCTGCACCATCACCAAACCTCCTTCTGTCTCCACTTACCAGCACAGCCACAGCCAGCCCTGGCTATTATATCCTTCTATTCCTTCTCTGAATCTGCTAGCGCAGGGATCTGGCCATCACAGAGCACAGGCTAACCGAGATGTGACAATACCCCTAACAGCATCTGGGTCATAGCCTAGGGATCAGCATCAGAGCTGGCACCAGCACCTGGGAGGGCTTCACGCAATGTCTTGCGTTCTGATGATTTGGCGATGCTATTTTCCTCATGAGGGGCCTGGTCCTACAGCCATTTACCTGTAAAATTAACTCTCACTTTCCGTACAGCAGCCACTGAAATAAATGGAAAGACTCTTGGCAATTCTCAGGAGTATGGTCCAGGACTCAAGTTACCTCTAGAAATGCCTGCATATCCATTCTCTTGAGTGTTTTTAACCACACAGGTATTTTCTGGATGGTAACCTACTGCTACAAATATACCAGCATGGTGCCATCCACATCCCAAGCCATCCAAGTTCTGCTCATCTAGTTACCATGCCACC